ATTTTACCCCCATGGGACCTGACCCTTTCAAGGCCCCACAGATCAGAATGGAAATACTCTAGGCAGTCAATGGCTAAGTGTGTTCCTTTTAGGAAGCTAACTCTATGTTGCTTACCTAAGACACAATTCTCACAAAATTCTAGGGTAGAAACAGACTCTTTACCAAACATTCCCTGGTTGCTTAGAATGTCTAACCCTTTCTTACTCATGTAACCCATTTTAAGGTGCCATTTTTCAGTAACAGACAAGTTTGAGGAAACTGGGGCAGTGTAGTCACAATCTAAACAGAAATCACCACATAGGATATATAACCCATTCCTCTTTTCTCCTTTCAGAATCAGATTTTGGTTCCTGTAAACATTCAGCCACCCATTTTCAGCCTTGTAGCAACACCTTGCTTCATCTAAGGTTTCTAATGAAATAAGGTTCCTCTTGAGTTCAGGGATAAACCTAACTTTAGTCAGATTTATCAATTTCCCCCCACTAAACGTGAGTGTTATGCTTCTTATGCCTTTTACTCTACAAGCATGGTTATTTCCATAAACACGTTTTAATTTTCATAGTCTTCAAAGTCTTGAAACCATTCTCTGTTTAGGCTCATATGGAATGAGTATCCTAAATCTAGTACCCACTTTTTAGTACTATCAGATATAGACACTGTAAGGACCTATGTTTCTTCTATTAAGCTTTTGGTGGAGGCAATATTACTCTCTGTATTGCCCTGTTTTTGTTTCTTAGGCCACTCAAAGCAGTTCTTTTTCAGGCGGCCAAATTTGTTACAGAAAAAACATTTCCTAGATTCAGACTTTTGTTTATTATTCCACTTACCCTTTTTCTTGTTTCTGGACCCCTGACTAAATTGGTTTCCCTTAGCAGGTTGGGTAGTTTCTAATTTGCCCCTAACAAACAGGTTGCTGCCATTTTTTTTTTTTTTGTACTTTCAATTCTAGTTCCCTAGCTTTAAGGCCTGCAACTATTAGGTCAACACTAGGGACAGTACCAGAGTACTAGAGAGCATTTTTCACTACTTGGTAGTCATCAGTTAAAGAATTTAGCAATATCATGGTCAAACTAGTTTCCCCTAATTCTTGATCGGTCCCTTTAAGATGAGGGTCATTTTTAGAAATTTGTATAGGTTTTCCTCTATAGTCTTAATACTGTCCATTTTATAAAAAAAATAAGGCACCTTTAACGAAAGCTAAATTTGGAGCAGATTGAAGAGCATACAGAGATTCAAGCTTACCCCACAACCCCAAGGGGGTTTCGATTCCATCAACCTTCCTCAATACGTTGTCCGATAGGTTCATCACGATCAGATTATACGCTTCTTCGTCAATTTCCTCCTTCTTCTTCAGTTTCCCTTCGGGCCACTTCTTAAGATCCTTCTGCAGTGCGAGGCCAACTTTATTGTGAGAAAGAAGGGCCCTATTCAAGAACAAGCTCAAGATCCTCCTCTCAACGACCTGAAATACAACCCGTAATTTGACTCTAAGGAGACTCTAACCCACAGAATCCCTAGAACAAGAGCTATCCCACTCTTCTCCGAATGATTAACACAAACCACTCAAGAATCACACAAGCGACACTCAATTTCATATCAGAATTTGCAAACCCTAATAATGAACAAAAACAGATGAGAATGCTTCAAATGAGGACTGAAAGGTATTTCTGAAATTTGTTGTGCTTTTACATCATTGACTTGGAGCATGAATCTCAGCCGTTAGATTGGTGTTGAATCAACGGCCAAGATCCAACTCTAAGCTGATCCAAAAGGTGGCGTTTCACTTAATCCTCCAAAACCAACAACGTTTTTGCATTCACTTCAACACTCTCACACGGTTTAGTTTCTTAAAACTTAAATTAATCACCTCAAAGTTGTATTCTGAGTCTAGCTAGAAGAAAGTCTATATACTTATAATGATATACATTGCCATGAGCTGTGAACGTACACTGGTAGCGTGCCGAATGCACCAAATTAATTAACCTTACTGACCGAACTAATGAATTGTATAAAGGGCAAGCAAGGGTCGATCCCACAGGGAATGACTCGATTAATTTCTATATTCTAAAACACTAAAAACAACAGAAACGCAAATTAAACTCTAAACAGTAAACTTGACAACAGTAATGAAGGGGGATTTGTAATCAAAGCAAACTAAAGTAGAACAGAGAAATAAAATATCAGGTTAAACAATCAGCTCTCGGTTCAAGATCCACCTAAACATGCATTGGACATAAAGTAACCGTAACACTGTTCTATCTCATCATTATGAAACTACTGACCCTAGGAAACAACAAGCTCTGTTACCCGAATTCTCCCTTAGTTTGTCACTACCGAAACAAGCTCTTCGAGTAGATACTAACCCTTGAACAACCTAGAACAAGCTCTCTAAATTTAATTCAATGGCAGCATTAAGAATTAGGAGAATAGATCAATCTAAGCAACAATCACGCAAGCTCGGATTATTTAACTTAGGTTATGTTATTCAAGACAATAGACCGAAAACTTGTCCATAATCAGCTATCATCATGTGTCACTCGTTGAATAGAAAAAGGACAATTACGGATCACAATTCCTAATTCTAACAGGTAAATTCTGATTAAACAATTTAGCAGGCCAAAACTAAATCACTCAAACAAGAATCACAAACAATTAAAATAGAATAACATAAACAATTCCAATAAAAATGAGATTAAGAACAATGTTACTAGAGTCAGGTTACACCAATGACATGAAATTAGGCTTCAAAATCCCCTTGAACTGAAGAAGGAAATTAGCCGCACATCTTGATCTAGAACGCAAAAACTCTACAGAATTCAAACTCTACTGTCCTCCCCCCGTTTAACCTAAAAACTTCTAATTAAATAACATGTGTTTTCCTTAATTCTTCCCCAAGAATCACGGAATTTCTTTCCTGGACGTTTCCTAGAAGATAGACTTCCAGATTTGATAAAATCTGATCAGATATGGATTCCAGAATTCGTCTCCAACTTGCACCAGGATTCTCGCAATGTAAAAGATCTTTTCTGGGCTCCATCACTTCATAAAAATTGTAGTCTAGGATGTGTAGATGAATCTGGGCTTTTGAATCACCCGTTTTCGATATCTGACGCTCCAGTTAGGCCCGTTCGAAGATTCACTGCTCAGCTAAGGAATCCTTCTGCGACTAGGATTCCAGGTCCGGTTTTGCAACAACTACTGAGAACCCAAACGAACTCGGATTCTTGCCCATAATACCTTCCTGAAAAGCTTGATTCGTCTACTTTAATTTCTCTGAAGACCACTTTTGCAATTGAGGAATCTAGCTCCCTGAAAAACCTGAAAAACGTAGCACTGGTCAGAATAACGAAAAATCTGGAAAATCTGGAATTTCCTAATCTTTTCTCAATTATTTCCTAAAGTCTATCCAAATATGCCAAACTTACAAAATAAATTCTAATCAACTCAATTAGGCATAAAACATAACAAAAACATAATATGATAGGAATAAAAAATATGTAAATTACACTCTTATCATACACCACAAGAAATTTTTTTTTTAAATTATGGTTTTAAGTTGGAACTCAAACCCAAGGGAGAGTCTAACCCAAAAGACTGGCCTAATAGGTAAGAGAGCCCCTAAGTTTAAGTACCACACTTACCGACATCCATAGCGGTTTTCACTCTATCGACACTGACCTGATGGTAACCCTTTTACCCACTTTATGCAGCTTCACTCATTCCAGCACCCCCGCCTAAGGAGAGCACACTACACCTTAATATAGCCTATAGGTAGCCATTTTTGCAACCCAACTCTAAACAAAAGCACCAATGTTAGAACTCAAGCCTAAAGGAGAGCCCAACCCAAAATACCGGCCTGATAGATGGGATAAACCTGAGGCTTAAGTATCACACTTGGTGAGTGTGAGATCCAGGTGTGAGATCTTAACATTTTCCAACGCAAAACAACATCGAAAAACACTAAAGTAGCACTGGAGAATATCTAACATGATGCTGAAAATTATAACATCGAATTCTAACACTTCACGAACCCTCAGGCTCACCTCCTCCATGGTGGTTACCGGTTACTCTATTGTATATATGCATTTGTCAATTGGTAGCCCTCACATGAAACTAATAATTTGATATTATCAATGATCTCCGGTCAATTGAGACCAATAATGCTATCAAGTTGGTGTTATATATTTCAATGCAAGATTCATACCTACCATTATTAGAAGCCTTTGTACAATTTGCTTCTGATTTTGATAAAGCTACTCAAAATCAATTGGCAAAGGATCAACTATTACGTAAGTTGCTCAAACAATCCCAAGTAGCCCCTCTTACGGTTGAAGAATAATTAATGACTATTTATACGGTAACAAAGGGTTATCTTGATTCCTTAGAAATTGGACAAATAAGAAAATTTCTCGTAGAGTTATTTACTTACTCAAAAACAAATAAACCTCAGTTTTAAGAAATCACATCTTGTACCAACACATTCATCGATGAAACAAAAACCGTAACCCTTTTGAAAAAAGCCATTCATGAACATGGAACACTTTCTACTTGAGGAATAATTATAAGTAGATTTACTGATCACTCTTAATTTTTATAATACTGAATTCGATTCAGAATTTTAATATTTAATTTTTTGATACACAAGGGCAAAAATTATGATTCTAAAACATTCTGATTTAATTTTCCAAGCAAATTTTCCGAATGTGAGGGCATTAGAGGGCTAGTCTTAAGAGCAAACAAACACTTAGAATAAAAAACAAAAAATTTGAAAAGGATGAAAAAATAGAGGAAAAAATTATACAGCTCCACAATTGATATCCCTAATTTTACATTTTCGAGTTAAATATCATGAATAATTTCTCAATATTATCCCAACATAATATATATGGTTATGTTTATTGAAAATAATGTTCCAATATGAGTACTTTTCAACTTTTGCAGGGTATAGATTATTTTAATACAATTAATGCAATTATCAAGAATTAGAGAGCAACAGATCTAGTGATCAAAACTTAAATTACTAACTTCCATTTATTATAGCTAATGGTACAAATAAGACATGAATTGGGATACAAATGTATTCACCAATTTAAACTCTTGTTATTACATACAAAATAACAATGCCAAAGTAACATACATAGAATCACAAAGAAACGAGTTATTCCTGGTAGCATCAGATAAGTTCAAGTGACTGTAAGCTTAATAGCCTTTTGGAGGTGGGGGTGACTTGTAATAATATTGTGGATATTCGTCGTGTTTTGGAGGAGATGGTGATTTGTAGTAATAAGGCGGCTGTTCTTCATGCTTTGGTGGAGGTGATTTGTAATAATAAGGTGGGTGTTCTTCATGCTTTGGTGGAGGAGGTGGTGATTTGTAGTAGTAGGGTGGTGGAGGAGATTTCTTAGGTGGAGGGGGAGATTCATGGTAGTATGGTGGATGCTCTTCGTGCTTTGGCGGAGGGGGTGGAGACTTGTAGTAGTATGGTGGGGGAGGAGATTTTTTCGGTGGAGGTGGTGATTTAGTAATATGGTGGATGTTCTTCCTTCTTGGAGGGGGAGGTGGGGACTTTAGTAGTATGGTGGATATTCTTCCTTCTTTGGTGAAGGAGGTGGGGACTTGTAGTAATAAGGTGGATATTCTTCCTTCTTTGGTGGAGGGTGGGACTGTAGTAGTATGGTGGTGGTGGAGATTTCTTTGGTGGAGGGGGAGATTTGTAATAATACGGTGGATGCTCTTCATGCTTTGGTGGAGTAGGTGGGGACTTGTAGTAATAAGGTGGGTATTCTTCCTTCTTAGGTGGTGGAGTGGGGAATTGTAGTAGTATGGAGGTGGAGGAGATTTTTTTAGGGGAGGTGGTGACTTGTAGTAATAAGGTGGTGTTTTTCTTTGGTGGTGGAGGTGGTGACTTGTAGTAGTAAGGAGGTGGAGATTTTTTGGGTGCTGGTGGAGAATTGTAGTAAAAGGTGGATATTCTTCCTTCTTTGAGGAGGAGGTGGGGGACTTGTAGTAGTATGGTGGATATTCTTCCTTCTTTGGTGAAGGAGGTGGGGACTTGTAGTAATAAGTGGAAATTCTTCCTTCTTGGTGGAGGAGGTGGGGACTTGTAGTAGTATGGTGGTGGTGAAGATTTCTTTGGGGAGGAGGAGATTGTAATAATACGGTGGATGCTCTTCATGCTTTGGTGGAGAAGATGGGGACTTGTCGTAATACGGGGGATACTCTTCATGCTTGGGTGGAGAAGGTGGGGACTTGTAGTAGTCATGTGGCGGCGGTGAGCCATACGTATAATCTGTAGCTCCAGCAGTGGTGGCAGCAAGCAAAATTGCCATAGCGTAAACCAAGCGAGGCCATTGCCCCGGCTGTCCCGGGGATCCCATTTCAGTTTTTAGGACAGTTTTTTGACTTGTTTGATAGAAAACACAATGCCATGCACTCTTATATAGTGAGATTTTCCAATCATTGATAAACCAGATATATTTCTTTAATGTTATAAAAGCCTGGATTAAGAATTTAAAAAATTAGTCCCCAATCTAAAAGTTTTCTCTTTTTTTTTTTTTTTTTTATAAGTGCTTTTTTCAACTATACATTGGACATTGAGCTTCCTCTATATCCATTCTGCCGTATAAGCCAATGAACATTGAACAAGTCTAAGATATATAGAGAGTAGTTATAAGATGCTTTACAGAGTACTTTATATTCCCCTTTAAGTAACACTTGGTAAAAAATAAATGAACAAAATGGAGATTCTATGGACACCCTTGAGGTTAGTCAAAGTAATCAGAAGACCCACAGATTTCATAACAAAACACTTACACCCTTATAATTAACAGACATTTTATAAAAAGCTAATCTCATATAGAATTTTGGTACAATAACTAATATGCCCTTTTTTATCTCTTCTTTGTATGATCAAAGTATTAAATATATTAAATGATTTAGAAATATTAAACTTTGACAATTAACTAAGACATATGAGAACTAAAAAACTTTATTTTTTTTATTTTGTGGTATAATTTTACTCTTATAATAATTACTTTTCACAAACATCATTCAATTATAAAGACGTAAATTGTTCATTCTGAAAGTTGTGGGTCTCTTTATTCTCTCACTAAACCTCAAGGGTGTCGTATAAAACTTCGTACCAAATATGAATTCAAATAGAGCTCGTTCAAACAAAATTATATATACAACAATCTATCAATTTTTGCCAGTGGTTGGTATGGCTGTTTCAAAGAAGGTGCTAGGTACAAAAATTTCTCACAAATTTGAATGAAATGGTATTAATAATGAAGTCTGCGGTAGTCGGTGTTTAAGTGATTATAAATAAATAAATAAATTTGCTTCATTAGTGCAGGAAGAGGCAAATTTGAGACTGATTCATCAATGGAGTTTATAAATTATTGAAAGTAAAGATTTTGTAAGAAATGGGTTTGATTTTGTTTATAATATATGGTAAATGGGTGTGGACAAGTGGTAGGTTTGTTGTTATAAGAAATGTTTACTTGTAGAATAATAATTTGCATGGGTTTCTTGAAATTTTTGTTTAGAATTTTAATTTTTATCTTATCTTTGGAAGATCTTTAACATGTTGGGCACTATCCAACTGTATGGATAGATTAATTGATTTCTTTGGGCTTATTATCCCTCACCTCCCCTGGGGTTTGTGTTTTACGTAGCGACACCCATAAGTTTAAAAATAGGTGTTCTCACCTCCTTAAGATTTCAATAATTCTCTCAAACCTTCCTGTCCACCCTACTAACAAAATTTGTTAAAGGGAAAGATATTCTAATCCCCCCAAGTATAGGATATTTAAAAACCCGGTAGCGATAATTTTTTTTTTTTTTAATTTGGGTAGAATTAGGCTAAAATAAGATATTTAATTGGTTTTGAAGGTGAGAAAATTTGGTTTTATTCACAGTGGGCTGAGAACAATTTCAAATATTGAGAGGCTTCTTATAATATATACATAATGTTTAAAGTAATTTTCTTCCAGGAAAAATACATTAAACCTAACAGATTCTGTTAAAAACATGGATAGGAAAGGTTTGAGAGAATTTTTTAAATCTGAGGTGAGGTGAGGGAATCTATTTTAAACTTACTGAGAAAAACAAAGAATAATACTACGTCCACAACTTTTTTATACAAACTTTCATAATTGGTAAAAGTTTGTTTTAAATTTAAAGTCAATCAATCATCTTTTTGACAATAAGTTTGTGAAAAAAAATTTGTATAAAAAGATTGTGGGTGTAGATATTATTATCAAATGTAAGGGACTAATAATTGAATTAATAGCGGCAAAATCAACCAAAAAAATTTGTTAAATGATATCTAGAAGATGATGAAATCATGAAAAGATAGGTAAAAGGCAAATCCAGCCTCTTTCTCCACTGCTTCAGCATTTGAAAGAAGAAGAAAATACATTATGAAAGACATGACTACGGTCTGTTTAATTTGTTAAAAAAACAAAATTAAGAAACTAACATACAATTTAAAAATCTATATATTTACGTGTTAACATTGCTAGGTCAATATCGTAGTTAAACCTCTCGTTGAAAGAAGGCTTTTTTGTATTGACAAAAACAACATGCAATAATCTACAAATAATTCAGTTATTGGTTAGCTGATTCAGACTAGTCATGCAACGCAGACGGCAAAACGAGTCACAATATGAATTTATTAAATTAGTCTTGCATGAATTTTCTCACTTTTCAATGATCTTATATTATGTATGATCCGGATATTTTTTTTTTTAATTTTATTAATTACTAATTATATTCTTATAATATTTGCATAATCTAATGTTGGAAGGAAGAGTTCAATCAATGTGAAAAGGGTAAAGAATGAATGAGAAGGGAAGCAAGAAAGAGATTGTTCATGGTCATTTACTGTAAAAATTGAGTCTCTTACATTTTGTTAAAAATATTTTCCGTTCTTTCAAAAACCATTACCCTAGCCTAACGTTACAACCATGAAAAATACCTAATGATCCGAGGTAGTGATTGGATTCTACATTAGTGGAGAGTGGTTTGAAAGTTGAGCTATTGGAGTTTGATTGCACATTTGTTTTTATTTTCGTACTTTTCCTATGGAAGCTATGCATAAAATCATTTGGGTTTTTGGATGAATGGTTTGTGAATGATTATGAGAGAGTCAATAACAAAAGTGTAGTTGTAAATCACTTATTCTTTGCATTTGCGTGTTGTTAATTATTCGATTTGTTCACATTGACACGATTTTTGAGACGATTATATGTATGGATCCTAAAATGTTTGTTTGAGTCTTTAGTTTCTGAGTCTAGGTGAGGTTAGGTTTGGATGTTTGAGGGTATCATCGCCGGAAACCCTCACGAGACTGTAACTCGTCCAACTAGGGCCGCCTAGGGGTTTAAAGGCTTGTTGCATATGCTAAATGCAACCATGACAATCTACGGAAGTGATTTAGGATAGTTTAGATATAGAATTTATTTTGTTTGTGTTTTCAAGCTATTGTTCTGTCGCTTAGCTTGCCAGGGACTAGCAAGAAGCTGGTTGGGGGTTGTGATAAGAGCTTGAAAATACATATTTAGTTAGTGGTTTTTGGGGATTAATTGTGGGAAATTAGGCTTAATTTAGTAAAGTTGCTTAATATTTTTATAATTGCCTTTTACGGGATCACAGGTGTTTTTCAGGTTACTAATGCTTAAATGTTATGCTCAGATGAAGAATCATGTTGGCAACGGAATCAGTGACGAGTGGAAACACACGGATCAAGAATCGGAGTTGAATTGAAGAAGTTATGGAAGTTAAAGTAAAGAGAATACTCTAGATTACGTTCCAGCTTGCGCATGCCTCGGTATTTTGAGAATATATTGAGCTGTAGAGCTCGGATTAAGACTATTCTTGAACCGTTGGAAATATGATTCAAAGGTCTACATTTAATATGTTTACCACTTTTCCAAATTTCATTGTTATCGGGTTCAAATATCACCATCTCTGAAGGACAGGGGAATGATGCGGGAAGGAGACCATCAGCTACTGTGCCGCGGCACAGTGCCACGGCACACTTTTTCCAGTAGCTACTGTGCCACGGCACAGTCAAGAAACTTTAAAAACGCCTCTCCGTTTTTAGGTAGAAAGCAAAGGTTAAGAGTCCTATCCCTAATAGAATTGAAGGAAATAAAGCCCTAACCTTTGTGGGATATAAAAGGAGGTCTTTTAACATTATTTTGGGGATTCTTGGGTGAGAAGAAAGGGAGAAAAATCTGCAGAGAAGAGAAGTAATAGAAGTTCTGGAGCTTCGATTCACAATATAGAGAAGTTTTCCTTGTTCTTTTCTTGTAAACTCATGATGAATGTTTTAATAAATATGATTGTTTCTTTCATGTTTATTATGAACTAATTTTATTCTCTAGGGCTAAGATGTAGCCCAATCTCTTAATTATGTATTGATTTTTTATTGTTAATTTGTATTAAGAATTATTCCTAAGTTTTACTATTATTCCTAATGCTTTTGATTCTTAAGGGCCCAAGAATTGAATGAACTAATGGACTAAGTTGAGATCAAGAGATGATACTTAGTTGGTCTACGTTAGTAAAACCATAGGTTGAGCGAACGCTAGAGATAGGTTATCGTGACTTGTGAGGTTTTGGTAAACTCCATAGAGCGTAATGATCCTCAATTGCTTAAATCTGATTAGAGATAATTCGGGTTAGTAATTAGGGGTTAATTTGATAATTGTTCAAGAGAAAGTTATTGAAAATTTAGGGAGTTTGACCTGTAGGAAGAACTTAATAAAATTAGCATAAGAGATCGATACATATGAATAAGAGTTGGTGTGCAGTCTATGCCCTAGGTCTAGTCATCTTGTTTTTACCCAAATGTTTATTTTAATTGTTCTCTTTTCAGTTTTCTTTTTAAATTCAATTGTTTATTTAATTTAGGTTTTCCTTGATAAAATTTGGATTGATCAAATAGTAATAGGATAGTTTAATTGGTAATTGATAATAGTAATTCCCTTGGGTTCGATATCCGTATTTTATACACTTAATTACTTGCACAATTTCGTACACTTGCGAAAATCTACAAGTTTTTGGCGCCGTTGCCGGGGAATTATATTTTTTCAATATCATTACGAACCATTTAGTTGCTAGTTTGATTTGTTTCATCTTTGTTTTGAAGTTAATTTTATTTATTTATTTTTATTATTAGTTTTGTTTCGCTTATTTTTGTCGTGTGTTTGTGTTTTAGATCCTGGAGAGCTTACGTTCAAGAGGTGGTAGTGAGCTTCATCCACTAGATTTTGAGATCGAGAGAACCGCTAAACAGATGAGGAAAGAAAAGCGGCAAGCTGAATCTGAAAAATCAATGGCTAACACAGGAATTGTCAATCCTAATATGGGAAATCAAGAGAACGAGAATGAGAATACCTTAGGAGGAAATGCAATGGCTGGTGCAGCAGAGGTTCAGAGAGCCTTGAAGGACTACTCTAGTCCTACTATTGATGGGTGCTATTCTAGCATCAGGAGACCGCCCGTTTAAGCGAATGATTTTGAGATCAAGCCAGCAATCATTGGAATGATTCAGCAGTCGATCCAATTTGCTGGGTTACCTAATGATGATCCCAACCTACATATCGCAAACTTTCTGGAGTTATGCGACACATTCAAGCATAATGGAGTATCCGAGGACGCAATTAGGCTAAGGCTTTTCCCATTCTCTCTTTGGGATAAAGCCAAGGCTTGGTTGATTTCTCTGCCATCTGGGAGCATCACAACGTGGAATGAGTTGGCTCAAGCGTTCCTCACTAAGTATTTTCCACCTGCCAAGTCTGCCAAACGGAGGAGTGAGATTACCAACTTTTACCAACAAGATTCAGAGTCATTGTATGAAGCATGGGAAAGGTATAAAGATCTCTTACGGAGGTGCCCTTACCATGGTATACCAATCTGGTCGCAAGTGCAAACGTTCTATCAAGGGTTGCTACCAACTATTCAAGCTATGATTGATGCTGCAAGTGGGAGAGCCTTGAACAATAAAACGCCAGAGGAAGCATACAATCTGATTGAGGTGATGGCGAACAATAATTATATGAGGACTCCAGAGAGAACTTCAACCTGGAGATTAGCGGGATTGCACGAAGTTGACGGTTACACAATATTGGCTGCTCAACTTTCGAACATCCAGAAGCAATTAAGTAATGTGTTGAAAATAAATGCAATTGAATCTTCTTCTCTAACATGTGACCTTTGTGTAGGAAATCATCCATCGAACGATTGCCAAGAAGGGAACCCATTTGCTCAGCCTGAACAAGCCAATTACGTCAACAATTTCCAAAGGGGACAAAGGAATCCATATTCCAATACATATAATCCAACATGGAGGAAACACCCAAACTTTTCATGGAGCAATAACAATGAGCAAAAACAAGCTCCTGTTTTTCAACCTCAAGAGCCAAAATCTAATTTAGAGAATGTGTTGACCAAGTTCATTGAAGAGACAAGCAAGAGGTTTGAGAAGACTGACGTCCTGATTCAAAATCAATCAGCCTCTATTAGGAACCTTGAGACTCGAATTGGGAAAATCCATAATATTTTAGCGGGAAGAGTTCAAGGGACATTGTCGAGTGACACAGAGAAGAATCTGAAGGAGGGAGTTAATGTTGTCATACTTAGAAGTGGTAAGGAGTTGAAGGAGGTAAGGAAAGAAGAAGAAACAAAGAACAAACTCGAAGAGGGAAAAGAAGGCACAGGAGAAAAAATGGTCAAATCTGCCCAAGCTTCAACAAACAATACCTCGACACTCCTGTATCCTCATAGATTGCAAAAACAGAGATTGGATAAGCAATTCGGTAAGTTTATGGACATGTTTAGAACTTTACATATTAACATTCCTTTTGTAGACATGTTGGAGCAAATGTCGAAGTACGCGAAGTTTCTGAAGGAGATTATCACCAAAATGAGAAGATTTGAAGAACATGAGACGGTGATGCTTACGGAAGAGTGCAGCAGATTGTTTTTGAAGAAATTACCACAAAAGCTCAGAGATCTAGGGAGTTTCACAATTCCTTGCACAATAGGTAATGTTCATTTTGATAAAGTTTTATGTGACCTAGGGGCTAGTGTGAATCTCATGCCATTTTCGATTTATAAGAAACCATGCATAGGGTTGTAAAACCAACCACATTCCACCTTCAACTAGCTGATAGGTCTATAAAATACCTCAGGGGAGTAGTGGAAGATGTATTGATCAAGGTAGATAAGTTGATTTTCCCGGTGGATTTTATTGTTCTTGACATGGAAGAAGATCGAGAAGCACCTCTAATTCTATGAAGACCTTTTTCTAGCTACGGGTAAAACTTTAATAGATGTTCACCAGGGGAAGTTAATCTTAAGAGTGGAGGATGACCAAGTAGAGTTTAATGTGTTTGATGCCATGAAGTACCCATCCGAGGGCGATACTTGTTTTGAAATTAGTGTCCTTGATAATGCCATTGCCAAAACCATGGAAGAAAATTACCCAAGCTCCCCGTTAGAGAATTATCTAGTTCATGCTAGAACAAATGAAGATGAAGTGGATGGAGAAGAGTTAAAAGGGTGTTTAAGTTTCTTAAACTCTTTACCATCAATGAAATCCCTGCCCACTAAGAAGTTCTTTGAGATTAACGTGATAGAAAGTCACCCCAATTCATCAACAAAGGAGCCTCCGACAGTCGAACTTAAGCAACTTCCATCTCACTTGAGGTATGCATTTTTAGAAGATTCAAAGTTTTATCATGTTATTATTAATGCTTCTTTGAGTGATGTAGAGGAGGAAAGGTTATTGAGGGTGCTACGGACATACAAGATAGCTATTGGATGGACAATTGCAGACATCAAAGGTATAAGCCCCTTAATTTGCATGCACATTAATGGAAGAAAGTTACAAGCCGACGATACAACCACAAAGAAGACTCAATCCAGCGATGCAAGACGTGGTGAAGAAAGAGGTTTTAAAGCTGCTGGATGCAGGAATTATTTACCCAATTTCGGATAACGCATGGGTAAGTCCAGTCCAAGTTGTACCAAAGAAGGGAGGAATGACTGTGGTGCAAAACGACAACAATGAACTCATTCCAACAAGAACGGTGACAGGGTGGCGAGTGTGCATTAATTATCGAAAGCTTAACTCTACGACACGCAAAGATCACTTTCCACTTCCATTCATCGATCAAATGCTAGAGAGATTAGCAAGCCATGCATTCTATTGTTTCCTAGATGGATATTCAGGATACAATCAGATTGCAATAGCACTGGAAGACCAAGAAAATACCACATTCACATGCCCATATGGAACATGTGCATACCGAAGGATGTTGTTTGGACTTTGCAACGCACCAGCCACCTTTCAACGTTGCATGATGTCCATCTTCTCGGATATGGTCGAGAACTCTATCGAGATTTTTATGGACGACTTCTCTGTGGTAGGTAATTATTTCGATTCTTGTTTAACTAACCTTTCTTTAGTTTTGCAGAGATGTGTGGAGACCAATCTAGTACTAAATTGGGAGAAGTGTCACTTCTTGGTTCAAGAAGGAATCGTACTAGGCCATAGAATCTTTATCAACGGGATTGAGGTGGATCGAGCAAAGGTGGAGGTCATCGAGAGGTTACCACCCCCAAATTCTGTGAAAGCCATCTGAGGCTTCCTTGGACACGCCAGTTTCTATAGGAGATTTATCCAGTACTTTTTTAAAATCTCAAAACCTCTTTGTGATTTATTAGCTAAGGATACACCTTTTAATTTTACTAAAAAGTGTTTAGAAGCATTTGAGTGCCTAAAAGCTAAATTGATATCTACTCCTATAATTGTTGTGCCTGATTGGGAATTACCTTTTGAATTAATGTGTGATGCTAGTGACTATGCAATAGGAGCTATATTAGGGCAATGAAAAGGTAGAATTTTGCATGTTATTTACTATGCTAGTAAGACATTGACGGGACCACAACTGATTTATGCTACAATAGAGAAAGAATGTTTAGCTGTTGTTTTTGCAGTTGACAAGTTTCGTTCTTATTTGCTAGGTACAAAGGTCATTGTACATATGGACCATTCAGCTCTGAAGTACCTCCTAGCAAAGAAGGATTCCAAGCCAAGATTGCTTAGATGGGTGTTACTTCTACAAGCGTTCGATTTGGAGATCCGCAACAAGAAAGGAACTAAGAATCAAGTAGTGGACCATCTATCTCGATTGGAAAGAAGGGAAGAAGATCAAAATGACGAAAAGCCAATCAATGAACATTTCCCGGATGAGCAACTATTTGCGGTGCAAGATGGAACTTGGTTTGCCGACATCGCCAATTACTTAGCAAAGAAGGTGCTACCCCCCGGAATGACATACCAACAGAGGAACAAATTCTTCTCCAACTTGAAACATTACTTTTGGGAGGATCCATTCTTGTACATGCAATGTGCAGACCAAATGGTTAGGAGATGTGTGCCGGAGGAGGAGATGGAAAATATACTTCGACATTGTCATTCTCTAGAGGTCAGAGGGCATTTTGGAGCAACACGAACGGCTGCTCAAGTTCTTCGATCAGGATTTTTCTGGCCCACTCTCTTTAAAGATGCATTTAATTATGTTCAAGCTTGTGATATGTGTCAAAGGGCTGGGAATATTTCTAGAAAAAACGAAATGCCTCTTAGTAACATTTTAGAAGTGGAAATATTTGATGTATGGGGAATAGATTTCATGGGACCATTTCCATCTTCTTTTTCTAACCGTTTCATTCTTGTGGCGGTAGATTATGTCTCAAAATGGGTGGAAGCTGTGGCACTACCGACCAACGATGCTCGTGTCGTAGTCAAGTTCATAAAGAAGAACATCTTCACAAGATTCGGCACGCCTAGAGCTACCATCAATGACGAAGGAGCTCACTTTTGTAACCGATAATTCGAGACATTCTTGGGCAAGTATGGAGTTACACATCAAGTTGCAACACCATATCATCCGCAAACAAGTGGGCAAGTGGAGGTGTCTAACAGGGAGTTAAAGAGAATCCTAGAGAAAACTGTGAATGCCTCTCGGAAAGATTGGTCCGCCAAATTGGATGATGCACTATGGGTGAATAGAACGACGTTCAAAACGCCAATAGGGATGTCGCCATTTAGGTTAGTTTATGGCAAAGCATGTCACCTACCGGTTGAACTCGAGCATAGGTCTTATTGGGCTATGAAGATATTAAATTTTGATCCAAAGGCGGTAGGTGCGAAGAGATTGTTGCAACTAAATGAGATGGAGGAATTTCACCGCGAAGCATATGAAAATGCTCGTATTTATAAAGAGAAGACCAAACTTTGGCACGATAAGCACATTGTGAAAAAGGAGTTCAGAATAGGAGAACCGGTTTTGTTATTCAACTCGAGACTTAGAAATTTCCCAGGAAAGTTACGTTCAAGATGGTTCGGACCATTCATTGTAAGTAAGATTTTTCCGCATGGGGCCATTGAAGTTCATCATCCGGTGAAAGGGACGTTCAAAGTCAATGGACACAGGTTGAAACCCTATTTTGAGCATGAATCGGAAGGAGACAGAGTTTCGATTTTTCTCCATGAACCAAAGTGAACATAAAAAGGGCGTCAAGCTAAGGACGTTAACTAAGCACTTCGTGGGAGGCAACCCATGTTTTACATTATTTTTATTTTTATGTACTTTTATTTTCGTTTGTCCATGCATTTTTTTTTTTTTTAATTTTATGAATAAAAACAAAAAAACAGGGGTGTGCCGTGGCACAACTTAGGCAGTAGCTACTGTGTCGCGGCACAATCGTGAGCTGCTGGGTTTTTAAACCCAGTAGTTCGTCACCCACACCAGCGCCTTAAAACAGAGAATGAACTGCTGCTGCGTTTTTTTTTCACCACTTTTTCACTTCTTTCACCTCAAAAACTCATCCTTCTTCTAAAT